AAGATTTATTTGACAGAGAGAGAGTGTGAGAGCACAAGCGGGGGGAGAAGCAGGCTCCCCCGCTGAGCAGGGAGCCCGGACTCGGGACTCGATCCCAGGACCCTGAGATCATGGCCTGAGCCGAAGGCAGATGCTTAACCGACTGAGCCACCCAGGCGCCCCAGAGTCTTTTTCTGTTTTAACCATAGTCTAACCTATACGTTTTGAGATTAAAATCGCTAGTTGGTGCTGGTTTTAAATTGTATGGCACTATTCAGGACGCCTGGGTGGCTCAGTCATTAAGTGTCTGCCTTTGGCTCAGGTCATATCCTAACAAAATAATTTCATCAAAGGTCATTCAGTTATTCTTCAGCCAAAAAGCTTCCTTCTTAGGCCTAAAAATACTCATAGCAAGTCTCGAAGGGGGTTGACCTGCAGTAGAATGTATCTTTAAATAGTCCTGATTTATAGGTTACAAATGATGATTTTCACATTAATTTGATCTTCTTGGTATCACTGAGCTCAGAGAGGCAGAATGTTTTCTACAGGGTCTCACAGCTTGGTGAGTGCTGGTGTGGGTTTGAAACCAAGTAGCCATGGCCCTTCCTGCTATTCCAACTGTTCCCAGTCATGTAAAGACTGGATGAGATGAAAATGTTCATAAAACCTACCATCTCTTTTCCTCTTATAAGTCACTGTGTTCAGCTTAAGGAGAAAAACTATTTGGTTATCAGTTGCCTCTCTGTTTTGTTGCCATATTTTTCTATCCTGATAGAATCTGAGGCCTTCTAAGAAGTCACAGCTTAAACTCTTATTTTGTTGCTGCGTTTTGTTGAAGCTTTAAGTGAACACTGAGCCTTCACTGAAAAGCTGATCTGATCTTGAGGATCCTGGTATCTGGGAGAAAGCTTTGAAGTCATTTTTCGAGCATCCCTTTAAAAAAAAGTCTCCTGCCCCCTGCCAAATTCAGGTACTCAATATTTTTGAAAGAGTATGGTTTTTATTATTTCCCACATGTCTTCTATCCACATACATCAAGGCTTGGCTCAAATGCTCTCTCCTCAGGAGATCTTCCCCTCCCGTGGCTATTCCTTAACCCTTATTACATTCTGTGTTTAGATAGATGTTAATCCTCTACTGAGAACAGGGGCTGCATCTCAATCAGCTTTCTCCTCCCAGGGGTGCTGAGCCAGTGCTCTGAGCACAGAGAAGCACCTGCTGCTCTCCATGGAATTGCCTGTCCTCAGCCAGTCCATCAGGAGCTTCCAACATCACAGAACTAGGGACTTTACAACAATTATGCAACCCTAGAAGTGCTTTACAAGAATGAGTTCCAACATTATTTATGTTTCAAAGTTTATAATTAGTAGTTACAAATCTGCCAGTGCAGAGGCCTGTGATCACAGAACTAAATTATCTCCGCTTTCACTTTGAAACTGAAGTACAGTAAGGAACCCGTTTGCAGCTTGGTGTTTTGCATTTTGCCTCTTTCCCATCTGGCCCCTGCCCACACTAGATGCTGAAGCTCCTGACTCATCTTTTTATTTGTATGGTACAGAAATCTGCTTTTCCTAAAATGATGTCACATGGATGATTCCCAAGTAGTTTTCAGAACTGTCTACATGGGCTGATTTTGCATCAATCAGAGAAAGAAATCGTGTGTTTTTGCAGGAACATTCAGTTCATTAGGGCTGGAAAGCTGGTGTCACAAGGATCCTTCTAACGGGCTTTGCATTTTCTCACTCAGTGTCAGTGGCATATAAGGAAGTACACACTGGTACCGAAGACATACGACAGCCAAAGCTTCTGACTAAAGAAATACTGGTCTAAGAGAGGTAGCCCAAGCAGTGATTTTTTTTTTCCTTCAGTATTCTGCAGGAAAGAAACCACCGCATTCAGTGGAGTGTGGGAGCCAGTCAATGAGCAGTAGAAAAGCCAGGTTCAAAACCAGGTTCAAAACCAGCCTCTTTCCCTTCTAGGCTTCATTTTCCACGTCTTTAAAATGGGGGACAGAAGTTAGATTATTATTTTTTTTTTTCTTAAGATTTTATTTTTTATTTATTCATGAGAGACAGAGAGAGAGAGAGAGAGAGAGAAAGAAGCAGAGGGAGAAGCAGGCTCCCAAGGAGCAGGGAGCCTGATGCGGGACTCGATCCCAGGACTCCGGGATCATGACCTGAGCCGAAGGCAGACGCTTAACCATCTGAGCCACCCAGGCGCCCCTGGAAGTTAGATTATTAATAGAGTTCTTCCTTAAACATTTTATTTTTCCTCCTAATAGAAATGCTAATATGTTCTCAAAATAACTTTATGAAAACGTTCTTAATTTCCATCATTATGAACATATAAATGGGATTTGTTCTCGGGGGGCAACCTTATGCAGCTGTAGGAAGTGGTGAAGCAGTCTCTGGAAGGCACATTCTCTGTCTCAGTACATTACAAAGTACCACAGTGGCTGTCACAGGATGGTGGGATTCCAGATGGATGACCTTTCCTTTATATTTTTCCATGTTCTACTTCTTCACAATGAACATGTATTATATATATAATCTGAAAAAATATAAAGCTGCTCTCTTCGGGGGAAAAAAAAATCTTTCTTTACTAAAAGGAATGATAAGAATTGGAGGTTCACTGTTAAGAATTAAGAGAGAAGGGCGCCTGGGTGGCTCAGTTGGTTGGGCGACTGCCTTCGGCTCGGGTCATGGTCCTGGAGTCCCGGGATCGAGTCCTGCATCGGGCTCCCTGCCCGGCGGGGAGTCTGCTTCTCCCTCTGACCCTCTTCCCTCTTGTGCTCTCTGTCTCTCATTCTCTCTCTCTCAAATAAATAAAATCTTTAAAGGAAAAAAAATATTAAAAAAATAAAAATAAAAAAACCCAAATTCTAAGGAAAAAAAAAAAGAAGAGAGAAGATGCTATATATTATACAGGTGAACTTCATAGCTCTTACCTGAAACAAGTATTTCAAAGATGCCCACGTTTTAATTCCTCTTTTGCCACTAAACAGTTGTTGACACTGGCAGAAGCCCTAAAGATCAAGAGGAAGAATGAAGTACTAGGAAAAACAGCTTCTTAGTCACTGATGTCTTCAGTGCAGGAAAGGGACCTGCGAGAGCTACATGGTCCTCTAAGAGGAGCTGCTGTAGATGATGTAATGGACACAAACATCAGAGTCTGGCTCTCAGGGACTCGCTCTCCCTTCAGGCACCGAAATCCTTTTCCATGGTGTATAGAAGATTCCGCCATGTTGACAGACCATAAACACACTGAGATTAAGGAGAAACTAATAAGCACATTTTAACGCTTGTGTAGTTTGCTAAGGTTTAGACGGAGCGCTCCAGAACAGGACAAGCTGGGTGGCATCGTACGTGTCACCTAGAGCCATGAGTCTCTATTTTCCCAGCTTGGCATATGTGATGGTTTCACCTGCCTGGCACTTTCTCTTGGGCCCTCCGCTTCCAGTTACGCCACTGACGGGTTCACTAGAGCCTCACCCCTCTCTCTCCCAATCATGAAAACACACCAGAAAGCAAGTGAGTGAAAGTCATATTGTAGGGATGACCTTCATTCAGTCTGTAGCAACTGAAAAGAAAAGGCAAGCTTTGAAATGTAAGCCAATAGTTACAAAGTAGTTGTAATCCGTGAGTGTTATTACACCATGGTGAAAAAACTGTGGTCTCCAAAATAGTATGCATGTACACTGGCCCGGTACCATGTGGGCGTGGGAAGACACCATTAGAACACTAGTTCTAGGTGCTTCTTTCTCATCTCACCTGGGAAAAAGATGTGTTTTGTAACAATACTGAATATTAGTGCATGTGAAAAACTTCTAGACACATATCCATATAATGGTTATAAATGCTAAAACATTTTTTACTGACTTGGGTGCGAAATTAAATTTTAAAGCCATCAACCTAAAAGGAAGTGAACCTCATTCTGTCATTTAAGGTCAACTTTAGAATAGAGTCAGTACTCAAAGTGTTACGAGATTAACGAAGATAAAAGCCCAGTGCTTTTGCTCTTGATTAATAAAACCCCCAATAAAAGCTATGGTAACAGCTAGTAATACGTGTAAAAAAGACAGAGGAAACGAGAAGACAAGAATGAAATGAGAACAGCATCTTTCAGGTAAAGATGCACTGACCCCGATGCCCACTTGGCACACCCACATGGACACGTGGTACTTCTCATGTAACCCCCACGATGGTCCAGGGGAAAAGAATGTAACAGAGTGCACAGCCTCTTGGCATTTTGATGGGGCCTTCATCCTTTGTCCTTTTAAAGAAAAAAAGGCAACAAGTTTTATAGCCGACCCTAGAGTGTTTAGGAAAAGGAAAGATGCATGAGGCCAGAATCCCAACTCCAGGATGGAAAGGCAGTAGCCCCAGGAGCCACTATACAGGGCACAAGCAGCCCTCTCCTCTACCATCCAGAAGTTTCCCGAGGCGGGGGCCATGTGGTTTGGGCCAGGCCCGAGTTTACCAAGGCAGGAACACCATCATCTAAGTCTACACTGTCCTAGGAGAGTCAGTGAAACAAAGCCATAAGCAGTGGGAGGAAGTATCATGAGCCCAGCAAGAAGAGGCTAGAAGTTTCTGCAATGTTCTAAACCAGTGCGATTAGGAAGGGCAGAATCGGCCTTGAGTATTAAAAAAAAATCACTGGAAACACGGATGAACCTTGAAGACTTTATGCTCGGTGAAATAAGCCAGTTGTAGGATGAATATTGTATTGTTCCACTTCTAAGAACAGAGAGACAGAAAGAAAGTGGAATGGGGGCTGCCAGGGGCTGGGGGAGGGAGGCTACGCTTTCATGGGGACAGAGCTTCTGTCTGGGGAGATGGAAAGGTTCTGGAGGTGGATGGTGGTGACGGGTGCACAGCCATGTGAACGTACTGAATGTCACTGAAGTGTACATTTAAAAATAGTTAAAATGGTACACTTGACGTGTATATTTTACCACACACAAAAACTTTTAAAAAATCACTAAGGAAGGTCATATGGAAAATGAAAAAATGTTAAAAAAAAAAAAAAAAGACAAAAAAGCCTTTTTTTTTTTTTAATCAAGAGAGAAGTACCTCGCTCCAAGCTCAAGGTCTAGATTGAGGACAGTGATGATGAGTCCTACCACACACAGATTTTAAGGACACCGTCACACAGGTCACCTTGTGGCTCCTGCATGCTTCCCAGTCCCGAGGGTCTCTTTCCTTCAGCTTTGCCCAGCCCTGTCATTCATAATAGACAAATGAGAAGTCCCAGAAACCAGTTCTATTTGGGAAGGCTTTCTTTTGTTCGAGGCTTCGGTGGTTAATATGCTTGACAAATTTCAGAGTCTCTCTGTCTCTGTAGACCAGTGCCAAAGAGTTGTTTTCTGGATTCACTGTTAGCAGCTGAAATAAGCAAATACAATGACACATCAGAACACCGAACTTATTCTCAACTCTTTTCTTCACGATTCACCATGTTTTCACATCATGTACTTAGACTGGCGATAGGGATCTTTTAAAAGATCCTTTACTAGGAGGAGCTATTGCTCTGGCTGTCAAGGCATTTTCCAATGAGCCCCATTCCAACACATACCCAAAACGATTTTACCCAGTGCATTTATTTCTTCTATACTGAAAGATTTCATGGGAATGCACCATGTAACTCTTAGCTTACATGGAATTTCTCAGTAGGGTAGAAGCAATGCTTACGGATTATCCTGTGGCATCTTTATTCCCTGCCAAGTACTTTCTACTAGAAATTAGAACCATTGCCAGGCAGACCATCATGGATTTATCAGCTAAAGACACTGGCAGAAGGTCATAAAAATTGGGTTTCTAAAGAATGAAACCTTCTTCAAGAACTAAAAAGGGCAGCTTGCTGTCAGAAGCAACTTACCTCTTCATCTTCACCTTTGGCAATGTAGGAAGTAAAGCCACCATATTCTGGCTCCCAGCCTTACAAAGGGAAAACAAACAGCATTCAGAAATTTCTCACTGCAAGAGTTCCATCCTCTGCTTCCATTGCCAATCCCACGCTGCTTAAAGCTGGAGGTTCTGGGAGCTCTGTAGTAACCAACTCTATGACTTATGAGCTTGAATTTACCATTCAATCCACACTGAGTAAGAAATGAAAACTAAGAATTGAATATAAAATGCACCTGGAAGGACAATTACATAAACAATGTGGATCTGGGGGGTTATTTGGAGGGAAATTATGATTTGGTCCACATCCCCCCATTCCTTAATCAGATATAAATCCTTTGGGTTGGGAGACTGAAGTTCATGACCCCCAAGATCCCCTCCAACAGAAAGCTTCTATGATCTGCGATCCCGGCCAAGGCACATCACTTCTGAATTGGTCAGCTGGAGGGGGTCACCAGGAGACTGCCCCTTCACTGTTGTCCTTCCTGCCTCTTACCTTCACAACCACAGTAGAGAAGTAAGTCTAGGGCAAATTCAGTCTTGCTGTTGTCATGGATCAAAGTGTAGTGACCGGTCTTCCAACGCCTCAGTTCTCCCTGGCATGTGGGAACACTTGAGTCTAAGAAGAAACAGAAGGCCAGAAAAAACTTAAAATAACTCTGATACAGGGGTGCCTGGGTGGCTCAGTCAGTTCGGTGTCTGACTCTTGATCTCAGCTCAGGTCTCGATCTCAGGGTTGTGAGTTCAAGCCCCGTGTTGGGTTCCATGCTGGGTGTGGAGCCTGCTTAAGAAAATAAATAACTTTGATAAAACTGCGAGTTTGCGAGGGAATAATAAGTAGGAATGGGCCAGCACTAAAGGGAAACCATTCCCATAAACCCTCTGACCTACTGCTCCACCAAACCAGCCTTACTTACAGTGACTGTCAGAAATGTATCGTGTACTATTTGGTGGGGCAGAGGGACTTGATGTTCTATTTCTTTTTTTACAAGAAATTCTGGATAGAATATATTTAGCTGCCAAAAATTATAATATGAATATTATAATTTTAAATAGATTCCCCCTGCCAACTGCCTGTGTCTATTATTAATGTTTTATCTTAGTGTGATTCATTTGTTACAACTGACAAACCAATACTGATACATTATTATTGACTAAAGTCCATAGTTGACATTAGGGTCTACTCCTTGTGCTATACGTTCTATGGGTCTTGATCAATGCATAATGTTGAGTGTCCATCATTACCATATCATACAGAATAGGGCGTTAAGCCCTAAAGAAGCTCTGTGCTCCACCTAATTCATCCCTTCCTTCCTCCTAATCCCTTCCAACCACTGATTTTACTCTCTCCTTAGTTCTGCCTTTTCCCAGAATGTCATAGTATTGGAATCATACAATAAGTAGTCTTTTCAGCCTGGCTTCTTTCACTCAGCAATATGCACTTAAGGTTCCTTCATGTCTTTTTATGGAGGATGATCACTTGTTTCTTTCTGACTTCATCCTGTTGTGGTTAGAGAAGCTACTTTGTATCATCTTTTATTTTTTACTTTTCTAAAGATTTTTTTTTTTAAAGATTTTATTTATTTATTTGAGAGAGAGAGAATGAGAGAGAGCATGAGAGGGAAGAGGGTCAGAGGGAGAAGCAGACTCCCTGCTGAGCAGGGAGCCCGATGCGGGACTCGATCCCGGGACTCCAGGATCATGACCTGAGCCGAAGGCAGTCGCTTAACCAACTGAGCCACCCAGGCACCCTACTTTTCTAAAGATTTTAAGTGATCTCTACACCCAATTTAGGACTTGAACTTATAACCCACGATCAAGAGTCGCACACTCCACCGACTGAGCCAGCCAGGCGCCCCGGTATCTAGCTTAAAATCTACTGAGACTAAATTTGTGGTCTAACTTATCGTCTGTCCTGGAAAATGTCCCATGTTCACTTGAGAAGAATGTATATGCTGCTGTTGGTGGGTAGAATGCTCTGTATTACACCTGTTACATCTAGCTGGTTTATTGGGTTAAGTCCTCTTGGGCGCTGACCTCTCCCAACTACTACTGTAGAAGTGTCTGATTTCTTCCTCCAATTCTGTCAGTTTTTGCTTCATATATTTTCAGTCTGTCATCAGGTGCATAAAGATTTGTATTGTTGTATCCTCCTGCTGTACTGAACTTTTATTTTTTTTTTAAGATTTTATTTATTTATTTGACAGAGAGAGACACAGCGAGAGAGGGAACACAAGCAGGGGGAGTGGGAGAGGGAGAAGCAGGCTTCCCGCTGAGCAGGGAGCCCGATGCGGGGCTCGATCCCAGGACCCCGGAGATCATGACCTGAGCCGAAGGCAGACGCTTAACGACTGAGCCACCCAGGCGCCCCTGTACTGAACTTTTAAAAATATAGAATGTCCTTCTTTGTCTCTTCTAATCTTTCTTAAGATCTATTTTGTTTGGGTGCCTGGCTGGCTCAATCGGGAGAGCATGCAATTCTTGATCTCAGGGCCGTAAGTTTGAGCCCCATGTTGGGCATGGAGCCTTACTTAGATAGATAGATAGATAGATAAATAAAAAGTCTATTTTGTTTGATATTAGTAGAACCACTCCTGCTCTCTGCTGGTTACTATTTGCATGGAACATCTTTCTTCATGCTTTTATTTTCAATCTATTTGTGTCTCTGGATCTCAAGTGAGTCTCTTGTAGATAGCAGATAGCAGATCCTGTGTTCCTGTCTATTCTGCCAATCTCTGTCTTTTGATTGTCATTTACATTTAAGGTAATTGCTAGGAAAGAGGGGCTTAATTCTGTCATTTTGCTATTTGTTTTCTAAATGCCTTATAGTTTTTTTTGTCCCTGCATTACAGTCTTTTGTGTTTAGTTGATTTTTTGGTATTGAAATGTTTAAATTCTTTTCTTATTTTCTTCTACATATATCCTATAGCTATTTCCTTTGTTGGTACCATGTGGGTTACATTTAACATCCTGAAGTTATAAAACCTCTCATTCGAGTTTATGCCAGCTTAACTTTAATAAAACAGGAAAATTCTGCTCCTTCACGGCTTTGTCCCCACTGTTTTCTTTAAGATGATGAACTTTACAGTTACTTTTCACATTTACCTCTGTATTCCCACCTGCTTTGGCCCAGGGCCTTGCATACAGTCGATGCTCAGTAATAGAATAAAGCATCCTTTGGCTGCCTGTATAGATTTTTTCCAAGGTCCAGGTTCCCATGAAAATGAAACCAAAAAGGAATAGAGGTAAGTAAGCACTTTTTTTTTTTTAAGTTTTATTTATTTATTTGACAGAGAGTGAGAGAGCACAAGTGGGGGAAAGGGAGAAGCAGGCTCCTTACTGAGCAGGGAGCCCGATGCGGGACTTGATCCCGGTACTCCGGGATCATGACCTGAGCCGAAGGCAGATGCTTAACTGACTGAGCCACCCAGGTGCCCCAACAGATATTTTTTTTTTTAAAAGCCCATGAGGCCCCACTGATCTTCACCTGATTCCTTTCGGGGCCCAGGTATAGAAGCCAGTATCAATTATCAAGGAATGCCCACCTTTATCTTAGAGAAAGGCTATCCTGTGTATTGACTAGCACAGAAAAAGCCACCTGGCTCTGGTTGTTCTAAATCCGTGGTGACCAAAGCAACAGGTCAGTCTGCGAGGCCACAGCATCTGCGTGATGCGGTCCTTGTGTCACACTGCTGGCTACGTGTCCGTGGACATCTACCTTCCTTGTCCTCGCTCTTCTAACTGCAACCAGGGCCTTCTCCAAAAATCAGAGTGGAAGCAGGGAGAGTACAACTGAGGAGACGAACGGGGCAGCAGATTTTCTCGTCTGATTTAGTAGGTGCTGAGCTGTGTATGCTCACTTACGGGTGCCAAAATTTCCACAGAAGCCTTACCTCTTAAATTTCCTATATTTTTCTCTGTTTGATCTTGTCTGTAGATAATGAAAGACTTCCTCTACTTTTTTTTTTAAGCCTATTTATTTTTTCTTACTAATCTCCACATCCAATGTGGGGCTCGAATTCACGACCCTAAGATCAAGAGTCGCATGCTCTTCTGTCTGAGCCAGTCAGGTGCCCTTAGACTTCTACTTTTATTAATAATTTCCTTCTACCTATTTTCCCAAATTCAAGGAGGTTTTTCTTAGGCTATTATTGGTCCTTGGCAGAAATAAGCTGTGTTCACCTTCTTCTCTTTGATGTTCTTATGTTTTAGAGAAGTTTGGGGCAAAGCCAGTCCTGTTTCTGTCCACTGTTCACATGTACTGTCAGCCTAATAGAATGTATGAGCTGCTCCTCCTACCTAGAATGTTCTTCCCACAGATCCTTCTTGTTATTCCGATCGGAGCTTAGATGGCAGCTCCTGAGACAGGTTCTTCCAGTTGCCCGGTCACCTAAGAGGCCACTCGGTCGTCGTTCCTCAGCACACAACCCTATTCAAGTTTTCTGCAAACCGCTTTTAGTAGCTTACGTTTTCCTGTGGTCTGTGTACACGTTTAATCTCCATCCTCTCCCACTAGAACATAAACTCTGGGAGAGCGGAGACCTTGCTTGTTCTGTCCTCCAGCTCCCAAAACAGGCCTAGCAGATCATGGATGCTCGAGTAATAGTTGTTAGATGAATCAATGACTGAATAGTGAATGCTTAACGGTAAGTAAGGACGACTGATATCAACAGCTTACCTTCCTCTGCTTCATTTTCCTCTGACTCTGGGTCTGTCTGTCTCTGGCTCTGCTGGCTGTTATTGCAGAAGGCCGTCTGATGGTTCTCTGGCCCAGGGGACCTATGGCTCGTCCCTTCTTCATGGTTATCGGCCGCAGAGGCTCCTTCTCCCTCTTTTTGGTTCGCCACCTCATCTTCTTCTGAAGGGGCCAAGAAGTGGAGTTTCAGGCCTGTGAAGTTGGAGAGCAGCAAGAACAGAGGCTCGGAGCGGAACAATTCCATGCAGTCCTTCAGAATGTCAGGAAGCTTGCTCTCCTCAGCTTTCTCATAAAACCTGGAAAGCAGTGATGCCAAGTTGTTCATCAAAGCCACACCTGTACAATGACTCATGGAAGAAAAGCTGTTCATTAGTTTTGTACCCTGCTCCCGAAGTCCTGGCACAGCCTACTAAAGCACAGGTTGTTGTAACTGTGAGGTTCTGTCAGGGCCTGCTACTGGATGTCCCTGGGAATGAAACATCACCAGGGCCAAAGTCCTACTATTGGCAAATGTCCTATTATCGGAAGTGAGCCTTCCAGACAAACAGGCAGATGCTGCACGCAAAGGCAAATGTCGCGGCTCTACCTTTTGTTAGGGGGACCTCGGCTGCTCCATTTCACGTCTCCTTTCTCCAAAGCCTCACAGACCTCTGCAAATTTCTCAGGCTGGAAAATGAGCAAAGAAAGAAGCAGTTAGTGAGTCTATGATCCCACATTGGTCTTGCAGGTGAAGCCGCTCTGCAGAACCATGGTGGCTGATTCCTAAAAGGGCCAGTGGACATTCACCCCTTTTGCCCAAGGTCCCCAGGCCTGATACAGTGCAGCCAGAACAAAGACTGGATAAATCATCAGCATGCTTTAGCCAAGAGACCCAAGTGTCAGTTTGGGCTATTTCCTTTAGTGGTTGTGTGTCTCATGTCAAATCGCTAAACCTCTCAGACTCCTGCATTTATAAAATGAAGACCATAATACGGTCTCTTCAATTCATAAGATGTGAGGAAAAACAATGAAACTGCTTAATAGTCAATGTCATCATACTAGAAGTCTCTGTAGGCCTCACCTTTATGCAATCAGCTTTCTAAATAGAGAAAGCCAAGTGTAGAGCAGGAAGCTGATTAATCTATTGAAATCTGCTCCACAAGAGGCTTTTTATGTACTTGTTTAATGTGGCTTCCCAAGGAGTGTTCTCAAAACAGCAGTCCTATCAGCTGTAAAACAGGAAAGAGGATCCCAAAGCCTGGTTTAGGTAAGCTGAATAAAATAGGATCAAAGTTTATTTACTGTAATACTTCTCAAACTCCTTAATATGCTAATGTCAGCTTTAAAATTTCAAGAGGGAAGGGGAGAGGGGGAGAGAGAGAGAGAGAGAGAGGCAATATGTTTCTCGTGGAGGAACAGCTCTTGGGACTGTGTTTCCATGGGACCCAGGGTCAGCTGTGAAGCACCACACCAGTGTCTATGATCTTGTTTGGCCCTCACAACTCTTCAAGACGAACAAGGCAGGTCTTATCCCAGTTTAACTGATGAAGACCTACAAGCTCTGGGAGATTCAGTGATTTGCTCATTAGTAAAACCACAGAGCCAGGGCATGAATATTAAGTCTTCTGACTCCTGATGTAGTCCCTCTCCACTGAAATGTGCTGCGTATCATTGTCAAATGTTCATTAATAGTTGCTGCTCAGTTAATAATCTATCTTTTACTAAGAGCAATAGTAAGCTGATTGGAAACCATATTCACCAAATGAATAGGAAGGAAGCTACATACAACTCCCTCTCAGTGTAGAAGCGTGCGTGCGTGTATGTGTGTACCATTAAGATTCCAGAAAACTGGGGAACACCCAAGGGACTCAACCCACTAAGCATACAACTGGTACCAATGTTAGCTACTAGCATCACCTGTATATTTTATGAAAAAGGTGATATAAACATTCTAACCAGGAACTAACCAAAAACTCCTTTAGTGATGCCTGTTTACCCACCCAAGAAGCAAGGACAAAAGCAGAGGTTGTTATAGCAGTGAGATTGTTAGGGCCTGCTACTGAGGTCCCCAAGATACACTGGACAGAACGTGCTGGCTTACCTTAAGGAACTCCTTTAGGAGAATTTCAGACCTTTCTTCAAACTCTTCTTGAATTTGAACTTGGTAATCCATGTCCAGATAAGTAGGGTTGATCCAATCATACAAAATTTCATGCTTACAAAGAAGCAGCAGATGCAAAACGTGAATTAACAATTCCTATTGCTTTTGTTCTTACATCATTTCGTGCTAGTAAAATATATGCAAAGCCTCACTTTATAATCTTCTCCTTGTTACACATAAAAGTGCTGGAAAACTCTGCCTGAGAAAAAGACACTATCAAAAGTTTACCAAAGAAAAGCAAAAGAGGAAACTCAAAGTCCAGTTTCATTATCAGGAAAACAAACCATATGGTAAAGCTTCTAAGATAAGAATCCTGACAACAAGCATTTATCCTTACATCTTGTGGGATGTGAGGGCTCCGAGGTATGAGAGGTTCAAAGTAGTTGGGAGGCCGGGTCAGTGAAGGACCATGGAACCAGCCACTTATAGACAAACGCGACTTTTCTTCAGATAGGACTTCGGACACCTGAAAGGGCAAGGCCAGCAGCGCATGAACGTACCCGCTGAGGGGGACGATTGCCAGCCGAGGCGCGCTCACTTCTGGATCCGTCACGCTGGATGCGCGCACAACCTGGCCACGGAAGTCCAACAGGAAGCTCTCACGTTTCGGTAACAGGGGACTAAAAAGCATGATCCTTAGTACTCTGTATATTTGTGGTTTATAATCTTTACCTGGTGAAAGGATACTGGAGACACTTCAAAGAAAACCAGTGTGTTCCATGAAGGGATAAGAGACTTGACGATCTGCTTCGGCTGAAAGTGTTCTGCACCAGGAGAGAAGACAACCACAAATGTGGTTTCGTTACCACTAACCACTTTCAGGCCACCTCGTTTCACCTTGACAATTCTCAGATTTCTAAGGGGAAGTAGATGGACCCTGCAGATCCCAAAACGCCACCCCCTTCCATCTGTTTCACTCAGTTCTGCTAGCTGACCATTGTTCTTACTACGCCATCTGTCTATTATCGATCAGGGCTGGGATAAGTTCGGAAAGGTTTTCGAGAGGCAACATCTGGTGTCAGTCATTAGGAAACGATCCTGACTTCCTGTCAGACAGACTGGCCCGGGCACACTGATGGCCCCAGGCAGCTTTCCATGCGCTCAAGCTTTCCATGGTCAGTACTCAGGAGTAGGGTCTGACTAGTCCTCACGCTCATGGACTCCACCTCTGCAGTAATGACTACAAGGACAATGTAGGGAGGTGGCTGTCAGGGCTGGTGTCCGCTCCCCCTCCTCAAAGGAGGACACACGCTGTGTCTAAGAGCTCAGAAGTAGCTACTGGTGCTGATGCGTACGCGCTTCTCTTACCATCAACATCATACAGGTCCAGGGTGCCCCCCAAGCTCCTGTCCCAGGGAGGAACCAGGTAAAGAATGAAGGCAATCCGGCGCCCTTCCAGCTCATCGTCATGGCAGAGGAGGGCATCTGCAATAGCGCAACACGCACTTTAATGTCCCCAAGCTGACAAGAAGCAGTTGCTACTCTGACCCTGCATTTTAATATCAGTCCATCTGATATTCACCTGCAATGTGAGCTCCTCCAGCTGTAAAATGACACTCGTTTCTCCTGTTTTATAATCGGAGACATACAACTGGGAACACGGAGAACTCTTAAGAGCACTGAAGAACACACATATGGACAGGCCCCAGAGATAATCACTAACAATATTTGTGCTTATATTCTTCCAGCACTTTTCCTACATATGTTTGCTTTAAAAAAAAAAAAAATGGGTGTCCTACAGTGGTTGTTTTGTGGCCTTTTTACTACCATCACTATATACACCTGTCATCACCTTTTTAATGGCCCTGTAGTTATTCTACTATACGGATTATGAATTACCTTCTTTCTCCTTTAATTAATCTTAGACTTGTTTCCATTTCTCATCTATTAAGAAAAATGCTTCAATAAGCAAATGACCATCACTGTACATAGATCTTTTGGTAGCGGTTCCCGTTAATTTCTTGAGCTAACGCTTCTAAAAGCCGTTAGGTGGGAGTGAGCAAGGGAGGCATCCCTGCAGGGCAGGAGAGGGAGGATTTGCTATGGTGAACTGTGATCGTTCACACATGGAGGGACTGTTTTGATAAAGAAATATCCTGAAGGTGACGGAAGCCATGGTTCTCACTGCTGAGGAAGGAAATTATAAATATGGAAATGGAGAAATCTGGGATAAACCTTATGGTGTTGAATTGGAACTGTAGGAATCAATGTGAATTGATTTTCCTATGTATGGAGATATTTAGTTAGATATCTACATATTTCTAGACACTGACATACATAAACATATAAACGCACGTGTGCACGTGCGCATCCATGTATTTGCTACCTCTTCTCCACTGAAAGGCCTGGGAGCAGTGACACCCTAATAGCAAAACACCTAGAGTCCAGACCTTGATTTTTAAGCATCATTCGTCACTAAAAGGAATCAGGTTCTTTGGAAGAATGGCTAACTCTGGGTCTAGAGCAGGGGACATATAAGATGAGCTTAGAAAAATCTTGCTCTGCTAGGAAGTAAAATGTATTAAGAATGATGGGGACACATCAAAAGGACATGGAAATCAGTTTAAGGGTGCTCCCTTTGATCAAATCAGGGACAAGAGGAGCATCACTATAATATAGCAACTGATTACAGCCCGTTACATAAATAGTGACCCATAAATCCACACTGATGTAAATAAATATATGAATAAATAAATGGGAAGAGAGGAAGGTTTCCTTTACAGAATGACAATAAATGTAAAGGGGATGCCAGAGGATGCTAAAATAAGCGAATCAAAGTTGGAGGATAAATGGGATATTTACATAATCGTTAAGTATCTCCCCACAAAATTCTTATTCACTTACAGAAAGAAAAAGAACAAGTTTACAGTGGGAAAGCCTGACATCAGTTACCACCTTAATTAAGTAATCAAAGTATCACTAGACTATGACACAGAGAAACCATATACCACTTGATAAGATGCACTAAAAAAACAAAACAAGGGGCGCCTGGGTGGCTCAGTCGTTACGCGTCTGCCTTCGGTTCAGGTCATGATTCCAGGGTCCTGGGATCGAGCCCCACATCGGGCTCCCTGCTCTGCGGGAAGCCTGCTTCTCCCTCTCCCACTCCCCCTGCTTCTGTTCTCTCTCTCGCTGTCTCTCTCTCTCTCTCTGTCAAATAAATAAATAAAAATCTTTAAAAAAAATAAATAAAAAAACAAAATAAAAAAGCAAAACAAAACAAAAAAACCCCCACATAATTCTGTAACATTCCTACCAAAAATGCAAGGCTTGAATCTAATCATGAGGAGGCATCAGGCAAACCCAAATTGAGGGCAAATGTATAAAATAAGTCATCTGTAAACCTTCAGAAGACTTAAGATCATGAAAGTCAAGGCTAGACTGAAGAACTGTTCTAGATTGTGGAAGACCAAGTCAGGCATGACAACTACGCAATCCTGGACGGGATCCTTTTGCAATCAAGGACCAAATAATGGAACTTGAATGGAGCCTGCAGATTGGATGGGAATAATGTATTGATCCTAATTTCCTGATTTTGATGGTTTATTGCCATCATCTAGGAGAATGTCCTTGTTGTAGGAATAACTGAAGTACATGGGGGTCCTGGAACAGGATGGCAACCTACTCTCAAGTAAAATGGGAAAAAACTATACTATGCTTGCTACGTTTCTGTAAGTTTGAAATGATTTCAATTAAAAAGAAAAAAGTTTTTAAAAAAAGGGCTTTTGATAGGACTCATCCTGTGTATCACTCAGTTAGCCTCAAAAAGTGGTTACCAATGTATACTTCCCCCTTATACTTTATACTGTATGAGAGTAAACCCACATCAAAATTTTACTTAGTGAAACAAAGGAAAACACTTTTCCTTCCAGGTGAAAAAGCAAACACGCTTTCAAAAAGACATTTCTTTGCTCACAAAGGGAACTGGTGACAATGGATACCTCTGAAGAGAAAGGGGGACAAGGAGAAAGTGCAGGGAACTGTCAAGGTTTACACTGTATCCTTCTATACTGTTCGAAGATTCTTCCTTAAGAATGTAGTCTTTTCTTATCTTCCAAAGAACAACAACAAGAAAAAAAAAGAAAGAAAAAGAGGCACCGAGGGATATTTGCTCCCTAGGAAGCCCAAGAGTAGAGTTGACAATACCACCTCCGAGTTCCTGATGCTCTACACGAAGTTGGTGTGTGTGCCTGCCTTATCAGCATTTTTCTGAAAATTTGGTCAACGGCTTTCATCATATTTTCACCAAAGAGAACCACTGCCTTATACCTTCCAATAAGATGGGAGTTTTGGTATACCAACCGGGTCAAATCTTCCTTATTAAGAAGGTCCTAATGCTATGGGGGGACGTGTCTAAGTCTAGGATTCTGGCACACCGATGCTCTTGCTGCCACTGTGTAGCTAAAGCCTGTAAGTCCTCTAAACATCAAGGGCTTTATCTTTCTTACCAGAGAATTCATATTTAGCACAGGACATGTCAATAGTTGATTCCAGGTCAATCTTGGAAATGTCAGCAAGCCAAGTCCGGAAATCTTCAAACAGAACTTTCCTAGAAATGTCAACAAAGGTAACTTGTTAGCCACAGCGTTTGGATCTCGGCCACAGCTACTTTTTCCTGGAGGCTGTAGTAGCTTCTTTACTTTAAACTTGGACAGTTTAGGACTTGGAACTGACATAAAGAGAAAGAAATACAAATCCATCTACTGTAATATAGTTTTGCTCTGCTATTTCATTTTACTTTCTTCCTCTTAAATTGATAGTATGCTCTATCACGGCAGTGCTTTGCCCTCTGTCATAATTTAGCACACTGATGTTCCTTTCCGAGGTTACTGATTTTTAGACATTTTTTTTTTTAATTTTATTTATTTGAGAGAGAGAGAATGAGAGATAGAGAGCACGAGAGGGAAGAGGGTCAGAGGGAGAAGCAGACTCCCCGCTGAACAGGGAGCCCGATGTGGGACTCGATCCCGGGACTCCAGGATCATTACCTGAGCCAAAGGCAGTCGCTTAACCAACTGAGCCACCCAGGCGCCCTTTAGACATGTTTTTTGGCACTAAATACTACTCCACTGCTTAATGACCACTTGGGTGACACTGCTGCAGATTAAAAACTTTAAGCTGCAATAATGGTGAATATTATGCTAACTGTAGGCTCAGGAAAATCTTTTATAGAAGTTCTGATGCTAGCACGATACCAGTAAGAGATGCCGAACATTTCCATTTGCCAGCTAACAGGGCTGTCTGTATAGAAATCTCTTTAACACAATTTATAACTCACTCAGCCAATCAACTTTGGAATTATGTTACTCTTCATGAGTTGAAAACATTTTGAAAGGACTTACGTCGGGTGTCGGTTCACATTTTGCACACACAGACAGTATTTTTTGGATCATCTTAGTCCAAATGTACACAATTGGAATTCCCATAAAATGCAACTGTGCTGTTCATAAGTATCAAGTCTCCAGGCTGATCTCCTAAGATTTTAATACCAAGTCCCTCTTTCACACTATACATTACCAAACCAAAAAATTCTATAAAACGCTGTGCTAGGTTGGTCCAACCAGAAATACCATGTAACTTCAAAAACAGAGTTGCAAATTGTATTTAATGAGCCAGCAGAACAAAGTGCTGAACCAGGCTTGAGATGTTGGTAGCAAACATTTCTGCAAAGTCTTGATGGTTTAAGCAACTATTATCAAAGCCTTAAATCCTTCTTTTACTGGTAACACTGGCTTCCTCAAATGCATTCCATAAAAAGCTCTTCCTCTAGTCACTCTATGAAAGGGTCACAAGGCCAGGGTTACTTTCTGTCATTATTCTCATTTGTTAATCGAATTTAACGGAGAAATCACAGAGCCCAACTGGGAAGTATAAAGATCACCTTTCTATAGACCAAGGAATCCCGTCTAACACACCATCCGGTTATTATCCTGTGGGAATAGAATGGAACCTCAGTCCCACAGCAAATGCTTACCAGAGGCGTGCTGTGAACTAAAGAGATAATGCCTTACAGGTATCTCTCTTTGGAACAACAATAACAAAAGGTCTAAATAAATATGAGATATTATGAGGTGCAGTTAATACAGGAGTAATACTTCAGAATTGGGAAGAAATAACAATCTGTGCAGACTGCCATCATGTATCAAAAGGTCCCAGAGGAAAAAAAGAGAACGAGAAAAAAATGACTTCTGTATAAATGAAAAAGTTATTACAAAGTAACATGTGCCTATTGTAGCAAAACTAGGGGGAAAAACCCTCTATAAGTAAAAAGAAACTGTTAAAAAGAAATCTGAAATCCAACTAGCCAGATTTAAACATTCCATTCTTCTTTCTGCTGTACAAAACAAAAAAAAACACCTTTTTAAAAATCATTCACTGTGTGTGCTGTTTTAACATCTTTTCTCTCTTTTTTTAAAATATTTTTATTTATTTATTTATTTGACAGAGAAAGAGAGAGAGCACAAGCAGGGGGAATGGCAGGCAGAGGGAGGAGCAGGCTTCCCTCTGAGAAGGGAGCCCGATGCGGGGCTCGATCCCAGGACCCTGGGGCCATGACCTGAGCTAAAGGCAGACGTTTAACCGACTGAGCCACCCAGGTGCCCCATCTTTTCTCTTGACAAGTGTACTGCATCAACTCTAATATGCCTCCTCTGGAAGAAGTATCATTATTTTGCTATCACTTAAAAAAATGTTGCCAATTAAAATAGGACACAATAGTAATTTGTGAGACACTGGATCCCAGCAGTGCTAAAATGTAAAAAAAGAAATGTGTCTTAGAATTGGTGAAATCAGGTTTATCGTTCTCATGTATTAAAATTCACACATGTCATATTCAATGGTTGTAGAGTTTTCCACTCATGCTTTTACCATTATCTATATAAATCTCAATGCATGGTCATTTAATTTGTATATAGTTTTTCACTATTTTGGGGCACCCGGGTGGCTCAGTGGGTTGAGTGTCCGACTCTTGATTTCGGCTTAGGTCATGATTTCAGGGTCATGGGATTGAGCCCTGCACTGGGCTCCGTGCTCAGCAGGGAGTCTACTTGAAGATTCTTTCTCCCTTTCCCTCTGCCCCTTCCCCAACTTGCACTAGAGTGCACGTACTCTCTCTCTTTCTCAAATGAATAAGTCTTTAGAACATTTTTTTCCTACTATTTTAAGCAACATTACAACATGCAACCTTGTATGGAATTTTTGAGCACATCCTTAATTATTTTCTCAGGATACATTCTTATAAGTGGAATGACACTATAAAAAGGTAAGCATAATTTTAAGAGTTTTGATACATTTTTCAAAACCATCATGTAAGAAAGGGATCGATACTTCTGTCAACACTGGGGAATTTTGCTTCGAATATTTGCCAACCTAATATGTGAAAAATGGTTCCAGCAGTGTTTCCTTAATTACTAACAAAGTTGAACATTTTATCACTGAGAAGGTGGGCCCTGGAATCAGACTGATTTGAGTTTGTAGCTTAGCTCCCTTGGTTTTCATCTAGGAAGCCTTGAAGAAGTTACTTCATCTCTCAATCTGTTTTCTCCTCCACAAAATGGGATAATGACATAACGTTATATGACATAACATTTTCTGCACCCAACAAATATGATTGTTTACCTTAAAGCACAGATGTGAGGCTCTCTTCTCTTCTTCAAATCATCCGACTTGATCATAGAAAAAGAAAAAAAAAAAGGATTTCCTTCATATATTACAGAGGAAAGCAGTTCAGTGAGTGCCCTTGCAGTGTAGGATTGTGTTGAAGAGCCTGGACTCTGAAGCCAAGCGGCCTGGGTTTGACCTGTGGCCCCTCCGTATGGCAGCTCTGTCACTCGGGCAAGTTACTTAGCGCCCCTGGGCCTTAGTCCATTCAACAAATATTTAAATAGTTATCGACAGTGGAGCTTATATTCTTTTTGAGGGAGACAGACGATAAACACAAAAAGCTGATGGTTAGCATGCAAGAAGGTGACAAAGCGCAGGGAAAAGCAGCCAGATATGAGGGACTGGGCGTGCTGAAGGTGGGAAAGGGTTTGTAAGGACAAACGCGGTGGCCAGGCTTGATTTCGCTGAGTGAGGCAAAGCCTTGAAGGAGGCTGGGAAACACGCCAAAGGGAGTGTCTAGGCAAAGAGGATTCAAGGTCCTGGGGTTGCCCAGGTGGCTCAGTCGGCTAAGTGTATGACTCTTTTTTTTGTTTTTTTTTTAAGGCACATTTTTTTGTAAATTTTTTAAAAAAATTTATTTATTAGAGAGAGAGAATGAGAGATAGAGAGCACGAGAGGGAAGAGGGTCAGAGGGAGAAGCCGACTCTCCGCCGAGCAGGGAGCCCGATGCGGGACTCGATCCCGGGACTCCAGGATCATGACCTGAGCCGAAGGCAGTCGCTTAACCAACTGAGCCACCCAGGCGCCCCAGTGTATGACTCTTGATTCCAGGTCAGGTTGTGATCTCAGGGTGGTGAGGCTCCCATGTCAGCCTCCCCGCTCAGCACGGAGGCTGCTTGAGATTCTCTCTCCCTCTCCCTGCGCCATGCCCTGCCCCACGCACAATCTCTCTCTCTCTCTCAAAATAGATAAGTTAATTGGAAAAAAAAAAAAAAGGATTCAAGGTCCTGGGTGTGAAGCATGCCTGGTCTAGTCAAAACATCCAAGGAGACTGTGTGGCTGGAGTGTAGAGAGTGCAGGGGACAGCAGGAGGAGATGAGGCCAAGAGGCAATGGGATGCATTAGAGCTCTTCTAAGTACTTTGGTTTTCTGACAAAGAAATGAGGAACCTTTGGAGGCTTTGAACAAAGGAGTAATAGGATCCCATTTACATTTTTAAAAATTGAGATAAAATTCACGTAACATAAAATTTACCATTTTAACCATCTGAATGTGTAATTCAGTAGATTTTAGTATATACACAAGGTTGTGCGACCACCACCACTATCTGATTCCAGAACATTTATCACCCCCCTACCAAAAAGAAACCCTATACTCATTAGGCAGTCACCGTACATACTCTTCTTCCGCAAGGTTCTGGCAACCACTAATCTACTTTCTGCCTCTCTATATGGATTTGCATGGTCAGGACATTACAGATAACTGGAATCCTACAGCACGTGGCCTTGCATGTCCAGCTTCCCTCAGTATATTCCCAAGGCTCCTCCATGTTGCAGCAGCATTGCTATGCCATTCCTGTTCCTGGCTGAGTAATATTCCACCGTGTGGCTAGACCAAACTCATCTGTCCATTCATCAGGTAATGGACATTTGGGTTCTTTCCACTTTTTTAGATATTATGAATAACTTGCTATGATCATTTGTGTACCTGTTTTTATGTGCACATGTTTTCAATTCTCTTGGGTCCATTGTCGTTTTAAAAGGACACAATGGCTGTGATTGTGTAGGTGGGCAAGAGTGGAAGCAGTGAGACTGGCCAATAAACCAATAGAATAATTCTGATGAGAGGCAAGGATGCCTTGGACTGGCTGTTGGTAGTGCAAGTGGAAAGAAGTGGGTTTGTCTGGATATGTTTTGAGGAGAGAGCCTGCAGAATTTCCTGACAAACTAGGTATGAGGTGAGAGAGGAATGGAAGGTGTTTAGCCTGAGCCACTTGGAAAGATCGAGTTGCCATTCACTGGATGGGTAAATTTGCAGGTGGAGCAGATTTAGGGGAAGAAGACCAAGAGTTTAGCTTTGGACTTAAGTGTGAAACACTTAACAGATATCCAAGAGTAGAGGCAAAGCCATGGGAATCCCTGGAAATCTGCCAGGAAGTGGCCCAAGGGCAAAGCCCTACAGTACTCTATCATTAAGAAGTTAGGGGGCGCCTGGGTGGCTCAGTTGGTTAAGCGACTGCCTTCGGCTCAGGTCATGATCCCGGGGTCCTGGGATCGAGCCCCGCATCAGGCTCCCTGCTTGGCCCGAAGCCTGCTGCTCCCTCTCCCACTCCCCCTACTTGTGCTCCCCCTCACACTGTCTCTCTCTTTCTCTGTCAATTAAATACATGAATAAAATCTTAAAAAAAAAAAAAGAAGTTAGGTACAAAAGGAAGACCTACCAAAGGAAACCAAGGGCTTGCCAGGGAGGTAGAAGGAGGACTCTGAGAGCGTGGTATCCCGAAAGTAAAGAAAATATCTCCAGGAGAAAGGAGTAATATAGTAGCTCAAATGCAGCTGGAAGGTCAAGTAAAATGAATCCTGGATTTACTAATGTGGAAATTATGAGTGAGCCTGACAAGTGTAGTTTCAGTGGAGCTGTAGGTAAAAGCCTGATGCAAAGTGGGCTTGACAGAGAATGAGAGAAGGAGTATTTGAGAAAGTACAGAAAACTTATACGGAATTCTGCTGTCAAGAGGAGCAGAGGAATGGGGTGAAGGGCAAAGTTAGGTCAAAAGCATTTTTTTCTTAGGAACAGCGTTCTTTCTTTTTTTTTTTAAATGTATTTGACACAGTGAGAGACACAGCGAGAGAGGGAACACAAGCGGGGGAGTGGGAGAAGGAGAAGCAAGCTTCCCGCCGAGCTGGGAGCCCCACGTGGGGCTCGATCCCAGGACCCTGGGACCGTGACCTGAGCCGAAGGCAGACGCTTAACGACTGAGCGACCCAGGAGCCCCTAGGAACAGCTTTCTTTCATATGTCACAGGGAATGATCCAGAAGAGAAGAAAAAAACCAATGTACTCCCCTCATCTGTAAACAGGAATAGGAAGGTACCTCCTTCATAGGACTGTTATGAGGACTTAATGAATTCATTCATTCTGTTATGAGAATTTATTAATGAATTAATAAATATAAAGCACTTAACATGGCATATAGCATGCACTCAGTAACACTTGCTTTAAAATATCCAGACTATCAGGCAACTCCTACTGACACACTTGCTTAGGAAGATTGTAAGACGTCACAGACCCCATTATTAAGATAGTTCATAGCACAAGCAAAGAAAAGGGGATATAAGCAAAGTCGGAAGGGACAGGAGACTGAAAATAGGTTTTGCATCTACTCTTTTAGGATGAAGAAGTTCAATCCCAAAGTGAGCATAGTAAAAATTATTCACAGCAGAGTTTCATCTAACACCCATGTGATCTAAAGTAATCTTTTTCTCCCTCCTCATTACCCAGAGCCCTTTTTATTATATTGCCACTCACTGACATCACAGTTAGAAGTGTTTTCATCTACCAAATTGCATCAAGTAAAAACCAGTTTAAATCCTAAGTTTTTGTAATCAGAGATACATATAGCCCTAAATCAACAGAGACCTACTGTTATTTTTTTTTTTTTTTTAAGATTTTATTTATTTGTCTCTACAGAGAGAGACACAGCGAGAGAGGGAACACAATCAGGGGGAGTGAGAGAGGGAGAAGCAGGCTTCCCGCTGAGCAGGGAGCCCGATGCGGGGCTCGATCCCAGGACCCTGGGATCATGACCTGAGCTGAAGGCAGACGCTTAACGACTGAGCCACCCAGGCGCCCCGAGACCTACTGTTATTGAAGTTGATATAATTACAAAGGCAGACAGTTGTGACTTTTAATTAACCGACGTAACTTCATGAGGATAAAAGTTTAATTTTGTCAGATTTCCTGACTTACTAAGAGTCATATCATGTGTGTATTTAACTTGGTTAATTCAATTATATGTGTTAAGGCCCAAAGATAGAGAAACTGGGGGACATAATAAGCTCTAGGGCAAAAGAATAAAAGTAAGAGAAGGAAATCCTGTTATTTACTCTCTTATCCCAGATAAAGAGAAATCAAAGGGTTAAATGCAAAGAAAACAAAATAATCCTTCATCTTTTCCATTTTTATTTTATTCTGTGATTTTTTAAGGGCTGATATCCTTGAGATTTTATAAAGGACTTCCAAGAGTGATGTCCATCAGGTACTAAAAAGATATTTCCCCTCAAACTAGGGAAACCAATGACCTGTATTTCTTCTTCTTTTTTTTTTTTTAAAGATTTTATTTATTTGACAGAGAGAGACACAGCGAGAAAAGGAACACAAGCAGGGGGAGTGGGAGAGGGAGAAGCAGGCTTCCTGCAGAGCAGGGAGCCTGACATGGGGCTTGATCCCAGGACCCTGGGACCATGACCTGAGCTGAAGGCAGACGCTTAACGACTGAGCCACCCAGGCGCCAACGACCTGTATTTCTATAGCTAGACTGAGCCCTGTCTTCTAAGACTGGAAAAACCGGCCCTGATTTTGATATGGTCTTTCCTGCCAAATTAAACTGTCCACCGAAAAAAGAATAGACCTCACTCTCTGCAGACATACTGCGATGCACAGCGTACAGTACATCAAGTCACCTAAAATAAAGACATGAATTAAAACATTTAAATAGGTATTATTTTCCAACGTACAACTGTCTTCAGCATACCAATCCTCAAAATGTACTTAATCCCCTTTGTTTATAACGTACTTAACTTACTGGCTTACTGTATTTCTTGACTATCTGTCACCATCGCTAGCACCTCTCTTAGTCTAGTCTTACAGGGCAAGAAATGTCAGAGGCTCCCATGCAATAATTATAGCACCTAACACATTAACACTCAGTAAGCTTATGTGAAATGAATGAATACTTTTAGCGATGTCAAGGCAAGGACCCTCCAAGGCAAACCCAATCTAAAACCTCAAGTCTAAAGGTAAGGAATGATTCTGTAGATACAGCATTTAAGTGGAAAAGTGAATGTGAAAGGGACATAAATACCTGCTGGAACTTATATAAATCGTTATACTTTTCATGGAAGTCCAAGTTCAAAAGTTCCTTCTGAAGCCCTTCCAAAAAGTTTTGGCTTTGGATGAAGTTTGGGATGACGCAGTGAAGAAAGGGATCCATGTCCATGGCAATGGCCTCTGTTGGAAGGAAAACATTACTTATGGCTCTTCCCCCTTTTTTATTTTTGACCCAAGTAGCATGGCAGAGGGAATACAAAAGGGAATGATCATGAATTTTCAGAAATCTAGTACCTAAAGACTTGGGGGAAGAATTATAAGCTCTTCCCTTTTTTCTTTACCCCATTCAATACTACCTTTTCTTTTCTTTTTTTTTTTTTTAAAGATTTTTATTTATTTGACAGAGAGAGACCAGCGAGAGAGGGAACACGAACAGGGGGAGTGGGAGAGGGAGAAGCAAGCTCTCCGCTGAGCAGAGGGTCCGATGCGGGGCTCGATTTCAGGAGCCTGAGATCATGACCTGAGCTGAAGGCAGACGCTTAACGACTGAGCCACCCAGGTGCCCCTCAATACTACTTTTTAAATATATTGTGTTTAAAATACTAGTCCTTAGGAGTACAGGTGGTATCACTAAATTAAGGTTCCTGCTCTTTTTTGAGTTTTTTAGTTCAATGATTAGCTATTGAACTGAATATATTTTAGATTCTTTATTCATTTCCCCCAAAATTAAAGTGAGAGGAGCAAATGAAAAATGAGAATAGCGGGGCACCTGGGTGGCTCAGTTGGTTAGGCATCCAATTCTTGATTTTGGCTCAGGTCATGATCCCAGGGTTGTGAGATAGAGCCTCACCGCAGGCTCCATGCTGGGGGAGGAGCCTGCTTAAGATTCTCTCTCTCCTCTCCCTCTTCCCACCCCCAACCCCTAAAAAGAAAATGAGAATAGCAATACTGGCTGGCAATTTTTCTTCAACCCTGCCTTTTTTTTCCCCAAGTTACTGTTGGAGGAAGTTACAACATACACTTTTTTAAAAAATCGGTTCAAGCATAACTCTTTGATGTCTTGATTTCTGTCTCAACACTTTAGCCATTGCCTCTGATACTCTAGGTACCCTCCTAATATTAATGGTCACCACCACCACCATCACCACCACCTACCCTGTGCCAAACACAGTGGTGCTTTACATGCATAATGTCACTTCATCTCCTCGGCAACCTTGTGGTAGACATTATCACTATTTCCATCCTACAGCTGAGGATATTGACAAGTCCCTGCGGGTACAGAGCTTGCCCTTTAGACACTGAGCTATCACTTTTTATGTGCATCCAGACACCCAGGACTCACCCCTTCAAAGCACTTAACAACTGAAACCAAAATCATGGCAAACTCTAGGAGGGAAAGCATGCTGCATGAAGCGGAATTCTTATCCTCTAAAGTGATATCTGAAGTTGAGGCTGGAATCGTTCAAGGTGAGTTCCTTCCCTTGCTCAACACTCGTTTACTCCCATAGGTCACGTAGTCGGCCCATAGGCGTGTAAAAACGAGTAAGCTCAGGTGCCAGCCATCTGGCAGCTCACAATAAATGCTCTGGCTACACGATTTTGGGATAACCGATCATTGCCCTCGGAGGAACTACGAACTTGCGTGCCATGCCCTCTGCTTCCCAACTCTCGGGCCTACGTTTCTTCCTCTTCTCAGATTTCTAAATCCAAACCGAACTTGGAATGATAGAGGGCAGCAGGAGAGTCAGAGGCGGCCAAAGTCACACTGTCTCCAAGGACCTCTTCCCTCGTGGCCCCGCTGCCCGGGGCTCGGCTCGAGTGGCAGGACTTTCAGAGGCCCCCCCAGACCCTGCTCCCCCTTCACAGCACCCGGTTACCGTGACCGAACGGCGTCCTGCGGCTCCAGGCCTCAGACACCTGCTTTTTCAAGGTTTCTTCGGTGACAGCGTCCGAAAACTCCGCTATCACCTCCTTCTTTCCCTTTTTCCCCGTCCGGCCAGAAACTGGCTCAGCGGGCCGTTTCCCATTCATCTTCTCTTAAGCTACAGAGACCCACGCCACACTGATTAAGCAGCTACTTTCCTAGGCTTGACTATAATTCCCAGAATGCCCCCTTTCCCGTGTTCCCCAGCGCTAACCAATAGGAAGTATCAAAGTAAAAGGAGGCGGAACCCATTCCTGGTCTACCAATGGAAGCTCTAGATATTGCGGCCATCTCATCAGCGATTGGCCTAGTGGCGCTGGGCCCGGCTGGCCTCCGCTTCTCTATTTCCTGCCGCCAGAGGCTCCGGATGCACTTCCGGCGTGCCCTCCCCTCCTCTTGCGCTCTCATGTTAATGGCGGGTGGTGTCTGCTGAGGGGGACGCAAATAACCGCTACCCGCACAGGGAAAGTCTCCCTGCCTGCCCCACTTCCTCTCGCCGCAAGTACTCGAGCTCGCCAGCATGTCCGTGGTGCCGCCCAATCGCTCACAAACCGGCTGGCCCCGGGGGGTCAACCAGTTCGGCAACAAGTACATCCAGCAGACCAAGCCCCTCACCCTGGAGCGCACCATCAACCTGTAAGTGCGGCCTGTCCTTAGCGCGCTACATTCGCGGGCACCCCCTTCCTCGTGAGCGCTCCCAAAGACTGCCGATCTTCTTCCGGCGCGCCCCCGGCCCTCGGCGGGCTTCACGTCGCCCCATCATCTCCACTCCCGCTCGCGAATGCGCGCCTTTCTAGATCCCACGGGCCCCTTCGTGGTCCTCGAGCGCCACGGGGTTAGAGTCCTACTTGAGAGGGTTTTCCTTTCCCGGAGAGAGGGCTTGCTCCCATACCCCTGGATTCAGCCATAGTAGGAAAATCCCAAGTTTGTTTTTGAACTCACCCCTTCCCCACGTCTCCAGAGGAAACCAGCTGCAGAGCGTGGTGTGCATTCTTCCTGTGCAGTGTTTATGTTTTCACATCACGTATGTGGTGTTGCTTTTGTGGGTTCTTATTTGGTGTAAATGGTATAATGTTCTCTTGTTTGCAGTTTTCACTCTAATGTAGCAGTGAGCTTTCGAGAGCTAGCTATAATGCATAGGTTTAGTTTTTTTTCTCTTAACGGCTTAACTGGTATTTGAGCTCCAGCATGCACCACATTTTATTCATGTGCTCGGGGCCATCTGGCTTAACCCTATGCATTCACCTGTCTTCTCTCCGCAGCGACAGCAGCCAGGCAGCCAGCGGGCCCCATCTTGGGAGGGTGCATACTGTTAAGTTTGGGCTTTTATTCAGACCGTGGAGGGGACCAGCAGGTAGCCCCAGAGAACCCATTGTGGGCTGTGTTTTTATTTTTAACACTTTTCTGTTTGAACCCTTCAAGCTATTGCATTTCGAAGTCACTCTCAAAAGTTACCTCGCAGTGGCAGGTAATTGGCATTGGAGTTCTATCTTGCTCAAGAAATTGTCAGTATGCTCTCTCTTTTTTTAATCATTTCTGAGAGTTTGTGAGGCACCGTGGTGCTGACCCTAATGAAAGAAAGTGGCCAGTTTATGCTGGTCAATGTTTAAAAGGTGCAAGGACTGGGGCGCCTGGGTGGCTCAGTCGATTAAGCGTTTGCCTTCCACTCAGGTTGTGATCCCCAGAGTCCTGGGATCGAGCCCCGCTAGGGCTCCTTGCTCCGTGGGGAACCCGCTTCTCCCTCTCCCTCTGCCTGAGGCTACCCCTGCTTGTGGGCGCGCGCGAGCTCTCTCTCTCTGACAAACAAATAAAATCTTTAAAAAAAAAGGTGCAAGGATTTACAGATGCTGGTGTTTCCATGAGAAACTTCAGGTGTTTCTCTATTTTACTTTCAAATAAATGAACTTCTCCCCTTCAAAAGCGATTTGAAATTGAAGAGATGGTTGTAATTATTGTTTTATTTGGCAAAACAGGTGCCGGCATGGAAATTTAGACAATAAAAATGTTGGGTTTATGAAATCTGTAGCTAGATAGATGTGTATATACAAGTTAATATCTCTAGCTATTACATTAACATAATAGCAGTTTAATTTCATATCCGCTCTTTAAAACATCTTCGTAAGATTCCCATGAAGCAGAAAAGGCAAATGTTCTTTTTAAAAATGTGAAAACAGGGCGCCTGGGTGGCTCAGTTGGTTAAGCGACTGCCTTCGGCTCAGGTCATGATCCTGGAGTCCTGGGATCGAGTCCCGCATCGGGCTCCCTGCTCGGCAGGGAGTCTGCTTCTCCCTCTGACCCTCTTCCCTCTCATGCTCTCTATCTCTCATTCTCTCTCGCTCAAATAAATAAATAAAATCTTAAAAAAAAAAAAATAAAAATAAAAATGTGAAAACACAGCTTCTGGATTACTTTGGTAATTAGGACTAGGGCTTGCGGTTTTCCCTTGATTTAACTTCATTATTGGATCAATTTGCATCAAGTTAGTGTAGAATTAACTTGAAGTGTTTTTATTTTTGCTCCATTAAAGTTATGGGTTGATGAATTTACAGAATGTTTCCTCTCCTATATAAATATGGTATTCAGAAAAAAAATCACTGTTGTGAACGCAGTTCACCTGGGTGAGTTATAATCTAACTTGAAAACAAGTCCTTTCTCCCCTACTATACTTTCTTTTAGGAAGTACTGCATGAATATCTACTTTGTACCAGGCACTGGGCATAATGCTGGGCATACAGTGGTGAGCAAGTAAGATGTAGTCCCTGCTTTGCAAAGTTCACAGTGTGATGGGAATAAAATGCATGTCTGGGCTGGCACTCTGATTTCATATCTGAAAATTCTTACATTTCATTTTGATGGGGCATCTCTTTATTGATATGAGAGCTGGCTTTTACAGTTACAGATACGTACAGCTATCATTAATTCTTTCTAACTCAGGTTGTGAAACCTAAATGTTAATACATATAAAAAATTGCCTGGCACATAGTACTGTGTGAAATTGTTGCTAACAATGATGTTAGATTCAGCGTTGGGTCTACTGGGGAAGTTACTAAATTCTTTAAAGGATCCTGGAAATCGTATATGTTAGTTATTTAAGAGCTGCTTCATTCATGCCTAGAATCTGGCTTTGGTGTTAAGTTTTGACAATCTTGATTTGTTTACCTTTCAAGAATAGCTAAGTGGATTAATATAGTTGTTGGCTTTTAATGTTAAGTCATTTTGATAGGGAATAGGCAGATGTGGTCAAAGTGTTCTTACTCAAAGACTTGTAATCAGAGGCTTCTTTAATGTAAGGGTTATGATTGGGGGGTTAAAAGGTGGTATGTTTGATTAAATATAAATATAGGATTTTTAACTATCTTTAAGGAAAAATTTGATATTTACTAGGCACGATGAAAACTGTCTTTATATGAGCTATATTTTGAATTCTTGCAAGAGGAGGGGAGAATATTCAGATTAGATACGGTGGGCAAAGGATTTGAATGACGAGAAGGGAAGAGTAAGGATATTGGATAGAATACATGCAGAAAGTTAAGGTTTATATGGAGAGAAAAGACAAGTTCACCTGAAGAGGAAAGGGTTGTAGTACCAGAAAAGTCTGAGGGTAGTTGACTGGGAGAAAAGTAACTGAAGAGATGATGGAAGGTGATCGCTCACCTTACAGAAAAAAGAAATATTAGTCTTTAGCCCTGATAATTAATAGAATTTCTGATGAGATTAGTTAGAAGAGCCCAAGGGGGTGTTAGCCAGGTTGGCACTGTTAGTCTAGCAGCCATGATCTAAAACCAGAGGATTAGCAGATATCCAGATAGCCACTTCTCTTAAGCATTTGAGGGCCTAGAGGGGTGGTGTTATCTATACTTGGAAGTTAAGTGTGGTGTAGCAACTTGATGTAATGGAAGCTCGACTGTAAGTCCAGAGCTGGATTCCGATCTCTGCTGTCACATTAATTTGTGTAACTTTGGACAAAACCTGGTTCTCTGAGTATAGTATGAACACTCTTTTTTTTTTTTTTTTTAAACCACAGTTTCCTTATATGTGTTTGGTGTCTGTCGTGGTAAATTACGGTCTTCAGTTCTCATGTTAGATACTTGTTTTTGGATCACAGGTACCCTCTTACCAATTATACTTTTGGTACAAAAGAGCCCCTCTATGAGAAGGACAGCTCTGTTGCAGCCAGATTTCAGCGCATGAGGGAGGAATTTGATAAAATTGGAATGAGAAGGACTGTAGAAGGGGTTCTGATTGTACATGAGCACCGGCTACCACATGTGTTACTGCTACAGCTGGGAACAACTTTCTTCAAATTGTAAGTGTCATTGGAAGTTAACAGCTAGACAACTTTTAATAGGATTGCTGTTTTGTGCAGCTTTGGAAGACAATTTTAGACTTTAGTCATTTATTTCCATAAACAGTCCTGTTAATGGAGTCTTTAGAAAGAGAAAATCATGTCATTTTTCTCCACTGTAGTGTTCATTTATTCCTTAACTAGCAATCTGCATGTTTCTGTATATTGTTGTTAATAACTGAGCCTGATAGAAGCCCCGTGAAGCAAATTAGTTCAAGTTTAATTTCTAGATGTCATTGTACCATTACTAAGAACAAGTGGTATTATTTCTTTCTTAGGATGAATGGTGTTTCCTATTCTTAAAATGACTTACATTTTTATAGGTGACTGTTTAGTTTTATCATTTAAACTCATAAATATCTCTGTATTATACATTTAGTGTACAACTGTTTGACCAGATTGTACCAAAAAGAGAGGTCTCAAATCCTTAGTTTGGAATTCTTGAAGAATGCCCCATTTTTCAGACCTAAAGAATGTGGTCCATTGCCTCCTTGGGCATTTCTAGAATCCATTATGACCAGATTACCTTCCAGAGAAAAGAGAGTGGGATAGACTGGTGGCTAGAAGTTGTTTTTGTTATGTTATGTTACATATTTTGTTCGTTTAAAGCTAGGGTTTGTGCACTGTTAGTCTGGTGAGTTAATATGAATTCAACTTTATAGCACATTCTTCCCCCTCCTTTTGACATTTGTTTGCTTTGATTGCCTTATGTGACATTGAAATATGTGTTATTCAGTTATATGATAGAAATAACTATTATTGTGTTCTTCCTGTTATCCTAAAATTGTTTTAAGTTGAAAGCTGAAATTCTTAACCTTTATACAGACCAGGTGGTGAACTTAACCCAGGAGAAGATGAAGTTGAAGGACTAA